TTGTTGGACAGCGGATCATTAATTTATATAGAAAGAGACAAGCGGGATGAGCAATTTGTCAGTAATTGTCATCATCTACCACAACATTGAACATTCTAAGTCTCTCTGTCTCTGTCGCCGTTTTTTTCTCTCTCTCTCCAAATTTGCAATCAAATCATAAATACGCTTATCTTTTGCTTTAAGGGCATTTACTTCAAAGATTAGTATTATCCATTTCCTAGTTTCATGCAGGAAAGCAAAGATATTATCTTTCCTTTGTATTAGCCAAACATGTAATTTATAAAGAATTTTTGATGAAATAAGTAATAAGATTAGTAAAGGTGTTACTAATAAGATTAGTAAAGGCATTATAATGGCTGTTATAATAGTTATTATAATAGCTGTTATAATAGCTATTATAATAACTCATCACTACTAGATAAGAAACCAGAAAAATATATTTATTTGAAAATGCAACCAGTAGGAAGATAGGTATATCTTCCTACATCTTAATCAAGTTCTGATGAACACTTATACCAAAACAATTGTATAGAATCCCATCATATGATGATTTCTCACCAGCACCACTCATACAATATTATACTGTGCCAGTTAATCATACTTAACAGGAAATCAGTACTAAGAATTGCATAGGAATGAAAACTCTGCTTCCTCACCAGAGTTTGAAAACCAAGTTCCCCTTCCTCCTTTTACTTTTTACTGACAAAGCTTGCATTTCATCTGGTGTTCTCAGTCATTAAGCAATTTGTTATACTGCCAGTTATGCTTTTTTTTTCGTACCACTACATATTCATTCAGTCCAGGTCTCCTGAATGAAGGTTTGCTGACATGTTACATTCTCACGCTTAGCCTGGAGGACACATCTTGAAAATTTTTGGAATAGCACAATGAGCTTCCATTACAGAGTTTCTCAGAATAGCACAATGGTAAACTGAAGAATTGTCTGTTAATTCTTTTCTCACAGAAAAAAAAAGGGAATTGTTTGTTCATTCACACAGCATTGGAAACCCTGTGAGAATGGGAAACTTCAAGATTAAAGCAGCATGATTGCTGTTTGGCTGACATTCTCAAAATTCAGCTTTTGGCTGGATGAAGCTAAACAAGGATTGGCTTAATGTGTTCTACAGACCCAAGCTAAATGCATAAGGGATATACAGATGGTGAACAAAATGGAGAAACTGTGACTTAGATTTAAACTGCACTGGGAATTATTTGCAAATGATACAGATGGTGCTGCAGCAGAATTCAAAAGAATCTGTCTGAGTTTGGCAGGAAAACAGATTCTTAACCCTCTTTCTTGTTAAAACTCAGACTACCAAGAATGCTGTTTAAGAGTTCACAAAACTCTTTTTAAAAGTAAATAATATAAAGCATTAAAAAAAAAAACTTCTCCGAAGGAAGCCAAAACAAGATTGTATATATAAATATTACCATATCAAGCACTGCTCTGTCTTTTTTTTTTTTTTAATAAGAAACCATTGCTGCTGGTTGTTTAGTATTCTGTTGTAATGAAATTCTGAACTCATTCCCTTAAATCTGAAAATCGCACAGCATGTGCCTGGTTCATTGAAGTAATGCTTACACATTGACACAAGCTTTAAGTGGCATCAACAGACAATTCAGAAAGATGCCAAAAGTGCTTTCTACCTATTTCAGGAGGGAAATGTTTTAATAAATGATCTGGAACAAGCCATTAGCAATTCAAACTATTAACCAAATGGAAATGCCCTGATAAACACTTTCACGGTTTTAGTTTCTTTCTGGAAAAGCAAGAATAATTTGCAACACCACAAAGTATTTTATCAATTGTATTCACATAGGTTTTTTTTCAAAGTTTTAATGTTTTAAGTTTTAAGTTGGTTTTTTTTTTTTTTTGAGTTAAGACTTCTAGTCCAACTATACAATTATCTTTATTTTCTGTTTTAAATTATATTAATATTTAAATTTCATAAATGAAAAGGTGGGTTCTGAAATAAAAAAGCAGCTTTCTAAGAAATTAATCCAATTAGACCAATTATCTATTACAACTGTGCAAAGATCATGGAGAAAATGTGGTTTGAATTATGCATACAACGGTATCTTTTCTTGAACTCATGCATTGACCTTTGCAATTGCTTTTTTTCTCCTTTCAATAAAATATGCATGTGATTTACTGTAAAGTGTTCCAGATAATAGGTACATCCACATGCATGCTCTCAATCACATTTTACTTACAAAATTTAAATCGATTGTCAGGCTTATATATTCATATATACATGAATTTATACACTTATGTATATGAATAACAGAGAATTCAATAGTATACTAATAGTTTAAAAACACTATATATCAAGCCCAAAACAACCCCAAACATCATAATTTAAAATTAATCTCAAACCAAGCAGATTAGAACTAGGGTCATGGGCTGTCTTAGACTGTTGAGTAAATATGGAACAAAGTTTATCTTTTAGGCAAGGAATTCCTCTATGAATGTTCAATTGTTCAGATATATTCAGTCCAGGTAATTCAGGGATTTATCCATCTGAATGTGTATTTGTCCCAGTAAAAAAAAAAAAAAAAAGAAACTTAATTTGCAAAAAGAGGGTTATTCAATGCAGGTAGACTTTGACTTATAATCAAAACCTGGACAGGAAGCTCTATCATTGAACAATGCAGTTATTAAGTGAGATGATTTTATGATTTTTTTTTCCCTGCAGTTGTTAAGAAAATCATCAAGATTGTTATGCAAATCCAGCTTCTTACTTTGCATGTCAGAAGCAGCCCAAGAAGATTGCAAATGGCAATCATGTGACTCCGAGATGCTGTAACCGTTGTAAATACACGTCATTTGCCAAGCAGCCAAATTTTGATTGTGTGGGGATGCTGTGATGGTTGCAAGTACAAAGACTAGTCATAAGTCCCTTTTTCAGTGCCACTCTAACTTGGAACAACTGTTATTGATTGGTTGTTAGTTGCATACAATTTTCCTGTAACCTCTTGCATCAACAGCAACAGCCAATGCTTTTAAAATATATTATTGATCATTTCCATCCATCCCATTATTAAAATGAAGGGAAAATGTCATTCTCTTAGTATAATTGTGTCATCTATTATTCCCAAATTACTTGAGAGAGTAGATACCTAAGCCAGTCTAGATCTCTGAAAGAACTAGAATGTTCCAGATTGCCAGAGGATAGGACTTTTTCTGAATTTGTTATATCTGAAATTTGCCTAATGTCATAAGTTCAGGGAAATCTCTGACATCTTAAACATTCGAAATCCAGGTCTTTACCTGAAATGAAATCGATGGAGGACCATTGGGAATGAGGAAAAGAAATACTCTACAGCAGGGATGTCAAACTCAAGGCCTGAGGGCTTGATCCGGCCTGTGGGCTGCTTAGATCTGACCCGCAAGGCCACCCCGGAAACAGAAAAGGACCAGCCCATGGTGCCTCTGTCAGCAAAAATGGAGCTTGGGAGGGTTGCGGGTGGTCCTCCCAAGCTCTGTTTTCACTTTCAGAGGGTTGTAAGAGGCAATTGCAGTGGAAAACTGAGCTCGGGAGCCCATTTTCACGAGCAGAGCTCCCAGGCCACCACAGGTGCCTCTGACACAAGTGACATTGACTGACCACACCCACCCTGGCCACACCCAACCTGGCCCCCTGAGGTCAAACACAACCCTGATGTGGCCCTCAATGAAATCGAGGTTGGCACCCCTGCTCTACAGGAAATATTCAGTCAAGAGAAGGAGGATCACCAGGGGCTTAACCGAAAAAGAAACTTAGGAAGGTCCTGCCATATTTTATCAAGTAGTTAAAAGTGAACATCAAAAATTGAACTTTCAGACCTGCAAGATTCTGTTTCTGTTGCCTTAGGTCAGGCCGAGCCCAACAATAACACAGCGAAATCCTGTTCTTTGTTTGTATATACCAAAGGGGTAGAATATTGCTAAACTGAAGTTATAACTTTCTAGGATGTAGCTATCCTTTCCCTACATCCTCAATCCAACTCAGAACTGTATATAGTATCATATAGTACTAATCTGAGCCTTTGTCTTGTAAAACTATACATTACTAAAACTTCTTTCCACAAACTTCTCTCCAGGTCACTATTCCATCACACATTAAAGTAGGTCGTCTAGTTGTGTTTCCTATCTAATTTATACTGGAGGGCTGATATCAATCTTACAAGTCTCATACTTCCTTTCAAAGAAATTTCAAGAACGGACTCCAATTCTCAAGGAGCCCCATTATCCACGAAAGATCTGGCTGCTGTGGTTTGATGATGAAATAAGGCATGAACTAGGACAACAGTTTTCATAACAGAAATGATTTTCAACTGATTAATACAAGTCAGTTGCAATCACTACCAATATTTATGCACTTAAGAATTTTGAGGTTGTCATCCTTGCTCTCTACCTCACATCAGGCCCAATGTGATCCCAGTTCTACACAGTTAACTGTTTCAAGGAACTTGGAAAATGCCAGACTTGTCCATTTCAAGCCATTCATATTTTGACATCAGTTAAATTATATGAGTCCCAATGATGTTCCCTCAGTTCATATAATCCTACTCTTCTAATATACTATACTCTCCCCATAGCCTTCCCACTTATTTTGTCTGTAGTTTTCTTTAGGAATTTTTTTTCAAGAAATAAATTTGGAAATAAATGTGCTATTTTTATTCTAATTATAGAAGAATGATAGAAGAATATATTTGATTTTTTCTAAGTACAAGTATTAAGTACTTACAAGTACTGAAGAAAAAAGCAATTTTTAAAAAAGGTTTCCACAATCTCTTCATTTTTCTACTATTAATACAGAGATGAAATGCAGTTTAAAGAAGCATTCATATGATGTCAGTCATTTAGTGCGGTTTTCTAAGAAGTACCCTCCCATTCTACCATGTTAAACAACAATAAATGGGAAATGCATCTGATATTTTCAAATAATATATTTTTACCATTTACAAGAATAAAATTTAGACTTCCAAAGCCAATAATTTTGATGCATTAGCAATACCTTGTGGCGTAATCGCATAAGAGCTTGAAATGATCTGAGGTCATGTCCTTCTTTTACTGGCCATCCTTTTGTACTCAGTAAAATATATCCAAGAGAAGAAACAATTGTCCACCACATCAACATATTTCCAATATTTTCTTCCTAAAGGAGAAAGTAAATTTGTTATTGCCAGAATCACACATAAAAAATAAGCAAATAATTATTTTAAGTTAAATGAGATATCTTCCATTGAATAAATATTAATAACGAATAATATAATCATGAAGAATAAAAGAATTAGGATCTAATATAACAGGTTTACATATCACATATCTTCTAATCAATATTCAGAATCTGTATTTTTATAACAACTAGAAAAAGTAAACTAGCATAATTACCAGAAACCAACGAACCAACCAAGAAAGACATGAACAGCAAAGAAAAATATAGAAAATATTCAAGGGACCAAAAATATAGATAACAGCATACTTTCTTTTGTTTTTTATAATCATATCATTTTGTAATAATTTTTTCTCCATTATTACTGATAGAAAACAATACAAATATTTAGTAAAGAATATAAGGAATTTTCCTGTCAGATAAGTTGTGCTCTTAACAGGAAGCTCATTTATGGGGGGAAAAGGGAATTCTCTAAGATCATGAGGAATCAATGGAAATGGCTACTTTAGATTTAAAGTGCCATAGTTCCTTGTCTTTCCTGACAAGAGTATACATATTAACTTCTTATTGGATGTGGTCCTAGTATAAGTAGCTACCTTAAGGGCTTCAGAATGATAATAAAGTGGATTGCCATATTGATTAAAATAATATGAGATAGACCAAAGCAGAGAAGCTGGTGTCAAAAAGGGACGAGGAAATCTATTTAGTATTTTAGTATTTATTTGATTTGTCAATCGTTTACAAAATATAGGTATAAGAATAAATATAGTTTTGAATACATGAGATAGATACTTATAAGAAAAATAAAAAAAAACAATAGGACAGGGACGATAGGCACAATTGGTGCACTTATGCATGCACCCTCTTAGGAAGGGGGTGAGGTGCTTCCGGTTTGAGTTCCTTCGGCGACAGACAGAAATCCGCAATCGTGCGCAGTTTCGGTCCGGGCTCGCCGCTGGAGCTCCCTGAGCTGGCTGGTTTCGGGGCTAAGCCACCCCGTAGAGGTGGTGAAGAGGGGAGGGAGACTGCCAGCAGGGTTGAGGAGAGCTGCATCTCTCCTCCTCAGCTGGCCATTACTCCCTTTCCCGAAGGCGGTTGCAGCGGTGGTCAGAAATGGCCACCTCAAAGAAGAACTCAACCGGAAAAGAATGTGCAGGAGGAAGATAAGAAGTGAAAGTTTTGGCTGACTGGGTTAAATTGCAAAAGCAACAACTAAGGTACCCTGGAATTTAAACTTACAAAAAAATAACATCGCTCCCAAAGAAGAGTCGGAAGCAGCGAAGGAAAGTGAAAAGGGAAAGGTTTGGGGGGTTTTTTCTTCTCTCTCCTTCCTTATACTGACAACTAAGAGACTTAAATAAGAAATCAGAAAAATCCGCTTTGACATCAACAGGCAATTAAGCTGAAAATAAAACAAAATGTCAAAAGGATAATAAAGATTTCTGGACACAATTTCTTTTTTTCATAAGCAGGAAGGGAGAGAAAAAGAATAAGGGCAGGATCTGGAAAGAGGGAGGAGACTGCCTGGAATTAAAAAGAATCTACGGTAAAACTTCAACAAGACTTACAAAAGATACATTTTAACTGAAACTTTGTAACTAAACAGTGGAACCCCAGGAAGAGAAAGTGAAAAAAAAAAAAAGCAAAAAGAAACAGCTTGCATGTATTTGGATTACTTGGTGATGTTTGGATTCTTGGTTATTGCATTTGAATGACTAAAATTAATCGGGTGGTTGTTTAAAAATTTATACAATGGCACTACTTCTGGATGAATTGAAAATGGAACTTAAAAAGTATAAAGAAGATGCACAAGAAGGGAGAGGTTCTTTTGTCTTCGTTTTTCAATTCTTAGAAATGGAGATTTGGAACTATGAGAAACAACAAGAAATGTCTGCAAAACAAGAAGACTGGGACAAAGAAGAAGCCATCTTTAATGAACAAGTAATTTTATGTGGGGAAGAAAAAGGAAAGGGGGGAAAGAGAATGGAGAATTTAAGACTTAAAAAAAAATCAAAGAAAAGAAAAATAATTTGAAAAATAAGTATAATACTGGAAAGCAACAGAAGTGGGGAATACAGAAGAGAGAAATAGAGGTAGAGAGACAAGGGGGTAAAAAGACATAAGAATTTAAGACATAAGAATTTATTTGTCATTACACTCGCAAGCGGGTGCAACGAAATGAGGTGCTCTTCCACAAGCAAACTGGACAAACACCACTAAAAAAAGAAAGAAAAAGAAAAGAAAAGTAAACTAAACACAACCAACCATACAATAATCTCTATACAATTTAAAAATGTAAATACCCCACTACTCTCAGCCATTAAACTCCACAAAAATCTTATGACCCCGCATTCAAACTCAAAACTGCACTTGGATAAAAACTGTTCTTAAATCTGGTTGTCCTTGTTCTTCATACCCTAAATCTCCTTCTCGATGGTAATAGTTCAAAGAGCTGATGTCCCGGATGAGAGGAGTCATTCAATATGTTAAGTATCTTCCTCCTACATCTATTCCTATACAGTTCTTCCAAAGAGGGGAATGAGCAGCCAATGATGTTTTGGGCCGTCTTGATCACCCTCTGAATTGCCTTTTTCTCTGCCACTGTGCAGCTCGAGAACCATACACAGAGACAGTAGGATAATATACTCTCAATTGAACTCCGATAGAAGGTAGTCAATAGACTCTCAGCCAGTTGTTGTTTCCTAAGAATCCTTAGTAAATACAACCGTTGTTGTGCCTTCTTAATTAAAGCAGCGGTGTTTGCACTCCAAGTCAGGTCATTTGTAATGATGGTCCCGAGAAACTTACATTCAACCACCTGTTCCACACGAACTCCCTCTATATACAGTGGCTGAATGTCTGCTCTTTTTTTTCTATAGTCCACTATAACCTCCTTAGTCTTCTTAATATTAAATAGAAGATTATTATTTTTGCACCAGCGGAATAGCTGTAATACCTCATCCCGATATGCAGACTCATCATCTCCAGAAATGAGTCCTACAAGTGTAGTATCATCTGCAAATTTCATTATCCCATTGTTGGGATGTTTATTTGTGCAATCAGATGAATAGATGGAGAACAGTAGTGGACTAAGGACACAACCTTGTGGAGTGCCAATGCTAAGTGTCTTGACAGTAGAAGTATAATCATTCAGTTTAACTCTTTGTGGACGATTTGTTAAAAAATCCAATATCCATAAACAAATAGAATCTGGAAAATCTAGATCTTTGAGCTTGGCTATTAATCTGTGCGGTATGATGGTATTGAAAGCAGAACTAAAGTCTGCGAACAACATTCTTACATAATTCCCCGGTGTTTCCAAATGGGATAAGGCCATGTGAAGCACAGTAATAATTGCATCCTCGGTTGATCTATTTTCTTTGTAAGCAAACTGAAGCCCATCAAAGGAATCGGGAAGGCAGGAGATAATATAATTTCGAACTAGCTGCTCAAAGCACTTCATTAAGATGGAAGTTAGTGCCACCGGCCTATAGTCGCTCGGACCATTTGTAGGCAACTTTTTAGGCAGTGGAACGATGGTGGAAGCCTTGAGACACACAGGAACCACACATTGTGTCAAGGATCGATTAAAAATTCCAGTCCATACCCCAGCTAACTGATCAGCACAATCTTTTACCACCCGACCAGGAATTGAGTCGGGCCCAGCTGACTTTCTGGAATTAACCACCTTCATTGTCTGCCTCACATCCTGCTCATTCACAATGAAGGGGAGGCTCTGCTGAGTAAATGATGGCAAAGGAACAGTTTCAGTTTGATGGATCTCAAATCGAGCAAAAAAGTTGTTCAACTCCTCAACCACCGCCACACTACCATTCGAAGAAACCTTTTTTGCTTTATAGTTGAACCCCCTGCCAAACCTGCCTCATGTTATTACTGAGAAAGCAATCTTCAATTCTCCTCTTATATTCGGCCTTAGCTTGCTTAATGCCTCTCCTTAAGTTCGTTCTTGCAGCACTATAATCTAGATCATTCCCAGACTTAAAAGCCTTATTTCTTGCGTACAGCAAGCGTCTAACCTTCCCGGTCATCCAAGGTTTTTGATTAGGATAAACCCGGATTCGTTTATCCACTGTGACAGTATCAATACAGTGTGCCATATACCCTAACACTGCAGCCGTGTGATCGTTGAGATCAGGATGATCAAAAACTTCCCAGTTTGTCTGTTCGAAGCAGTCCTTTAGCTGCTCCATAGCTCCCTCTGGCCAGCTTTTCATCGTCTTGACTACCGACCCTGCCTGTTTTCTCAGAGGAATATACTCTGGGGCTAAAAGCAGGGACAAGTGATCCGACTGGCCCAGATGTGGTAATTGTAATACCTGTATCCATTTACAATATTCGTGTAGACTTTATCCAAGGTGTTCGACCCCCTAGTGGCACACCTTATATGTTGATAGAATTTAGGGAGGACCACACGAAGATCCACATGATTAAAATCTCCTGCAATAATGTATACAGCATCTGGAAATTTGCTTTGCAAGTTGCCAATTTCATCACCCAGGAAGCCCAGAGCCAAATCTACATTTGCATCCGGCGGAATGTAAACAGCAAGAATAATAACAATGCTGAATTCCCGTGGAAGATAGAAGGGTCTGCATCTAACAGACAGATATTCCAGCTCCAAAGAGCAGTGACGTGTTATAACCTCTGAGTTTGTACACCAAGTCTCTTTAACAAACATACACACTCCACCTCCTCTGCACTTCCCCACATTTCTGTCTCTGTCCAGACGATGTAATAAAAAACCGTCCATCTCAATGACAATGTCCGGAATAGTGGGGTTCAACCAGGTTTCGGTGATTAACAACACACAACAACTTTTCACGAACTTACTTGAAGAGACCTGTAACCTTAAATCATCCATCTTGTTTACCACGGATCTGGCATTAGTCAGAAAGAGACTTGGGAGCGGTAGCCGCTTCGTTTGTTTTTGCAGCCTGTATAAA